TTTTTTTATTGCTGCCTGCATTGTCATTTGGTGGTTTTAGATGACACCGTAAATCCTTATACGTGGGTAGTAGTCTCTATGTACTTGGCTGTGTGTATATGTCATCTCACACAAGTCCTTGCTTGTGCCTCTACCCTAATGAGCCACTGAAAAGTTAAAGTGACACAACAACGGTCCCAATGAGTAATCACTAGGGATAGCAGACTGAAAAGAAATGCTTCCGCCTACAGATGACATCATACTCCCCAAGATGCTTCACCCAGGACTAAGTTGTTGACTAGTCCTTTGCTCTGTTTTTTTTGGGGGGTACAACTTAAAAAAAAACAAAAAGTCAGTTCCTCTTTAAGATCACAATATTGTTGGATAAATGACATTCACCTAATCTAAAATGATTCTAAGGTACAAAGCACCAATCCCTGTGAAATCCAAGGGGTTCCACACAACTCTTTTTGAAGCTTCGCACTGGCAGGGTGCAGACAAGCAATATAGAACTGCTTCAGGGGCATTCGAAGATCAGTTTTAGATGCTTTGGAGTTCCTTCACAGGCAGTGAACTCCAAACTTCACTCTGGCCTCCTGCTGTCTTGTACTCCTAAATTGCCTCAAGTTGCTTTTGCAATCCAATTGATTAGTATAGAAGGAGATTAAAAGTTAAGTCTTGGAATCAGATTAAGTTTCAGAGTTGGGTAAGAGTTAAGTACCAGGGAGATGCTAAAGTTACCCTGTTAACACCAGGTCACATTTACATATTCGCACTCTGGTCCTGTGGCCCATGTATTTAAAAGCCACCGTTACAAGTAATTTCACTAGTCAGATGGGTCGAATATTTGCTCCCCCCCACTGGCCACTGTGGTTGGAGACTCCTAGGTCATTACATTCAATACAGGACCAGCAGTCCAACCATGTAAATGACGATGTTAAATAGAGGGGTGATGACAAGACTGGATGGAGAGCGGGCTTGGGTTGCTGGTTGTCCCAACTGAAACCAGCAGAGAGGAATACTGCAGGACTCTAGATCAAGGTAAAAATTCCTCTGTATTAGATCACCCCCTAGAAAAACAAGCACTTAGGCCCCATTCACACCTAGGCGTATTGTATTATGCGGGCCTGTCGCGCGTTTTTTTACCGCGATTTGCGGTAAAAAAGTTGCGCGACCGCCAGTGAAGGCGGGAGTGTAGGTTATATATTTTCTACACTTTTCTAATAAACTCTAAATTGATACTTTGTAGAGATCTTCCCTAAAGAGACATGGTCACCCTGGTCATGGCCCCACTTAAGGCTGTGACACCCTGCACCTGAAGCAGCGCGGAACGGTGGTGTGCTGCCTTCGCGTGCAGTGTCATGTCATTTTTTTCCCCGGCACGTCAGCTTACGAGAGCTCGCATAGCTGAGCGTGTCGAGATGAAAAATGTCATCATCAGCCAATCGGCACGCGCGTATAAACCCACGCATCACAATGCAAACTCTATCCGGTTGTTACGCGTGAGCCGATTGGCTGAAGATGCACTCAATCATCTGGCTGCACTCCCCTCACACACTGCATGTGAAGCTCCGTGCCTGATACTTTTCCTCACGTTCTTACCAACACCAATTCCCTTTTTTTTTCCCTTTGAGTCATGTGACAGTTTTTCTAAAAACAATACAGACTAATGATTTTAGGACAGTGGTGGAGCGCCAGTTCCTGGTCGCAGCTGCAACCTCTGTGACCTTGGTAGTTCTGCCACTGACTCCAAGCTGTAGAGGGACTACAAATCTCAGAAATACAGAATAATACCACCCGCTACAAAATCCCAGACTACAAATCCCAGCAATGCCAAATGGCACTAGCTATAGAGGACCACAAGTCCCTGCAATACATTATACGGCAATGTAGAATATGAAGCTACATACTCTGTGCTGCTCCGGGGTGCCGGCCTAATGTTTTCGGTGGAGGATCTCACAGGGTCTCAGAAGGTCACACGGGCGGCATTGTTCCAGAAAGGAGGAGGAGATGCGGCACCAGCTTATACTGCAAAATGTGCAAGGTTCACAGGAAAGCTGCAGAGGTCCTCAGCAAGTGCAGGACCTCAGGCAGCGGCTTCATTTTAAAAATGTAAAGTGACTGTATCAGCGTTTAGTATCAGGGAATTTTCACTAGTACGAGTTCTTGTGAAAATGCCCAGTATTGGCACCGATACTGATATCAGTGCATCCCTACACTCCCTCGCCATTCCTTCCTTTGTCACAGCCGGTGACACTACCTACAGCTTGCAGAGTTTGGGGGAACATGTGACCTTATCCCCTCTGACAGTGTTCAGGCCTAGCAACCTGCTCTCTAATGGTGCCCTATGGCTATCAAAAGCAATAAAAAAAAATCCCTGGTTCCTCCAGGTACAGAGCTGGAAGTCACTTCCGCCCTTTTGCCTGCTTTTAAAAGGAGAACTATGGGGTTAAGGCTTTTCCCCATAGTTCTCCTTAGGGCAGTGGTTCTCAACCTTTCTAGGGCCGGGACCACCTTGGTAACATTTGCCAAGTTGTGGTGACCCCCAAAGGTAAAATTTCGGGATGACGCGGCTGCTGCAGCGACATCTGGCGGTGTGGCGGGAGAACTGACAAGGCTGCGCTAGGAGAGAGCTGAGGAGGACTCTCACCTTGCACAGCGACCCACAGGTTGAGAACCACTGCTATAGGCAAAGACAGGACCGGGCTCTGCAGCTGGAACTAGAAGAATTGGATTTAAAGTATGAGGTACATACTCTGCAGTACTGTCACTGATAGGATGGGCTCGGGCGTGTTCGCAGCTCCACGTGCCGAGCCCGCCAGGAAGCTGACAGCGCGCAGTGCCAATCACAGGCACTGAGACATTTCCCGATCTCTGCAGCTGCGGACCAGGAAAATGGAATGCATAGCTAGAAGTGTGTTTTACATATTTTTTTGCTTGAATACATACATATTGCACCCGTCCTCTGCTGCTGTCAATCACTAGAAGGGGACCTGATGGAGAACTTCAGGTCCCCCTCTGCTGATTGGCAGCGTCAGAGAGTGGGTGCAATAGCTAGTTTGCTATTGGCTTTTACAAAGTGAAATAGCCAATAGGAATCTAGCTATGCATTCCTATGGTGGGTTTTTTTTTCTGACTTACGGCGGCCCACGATTTTTCCGGGAGAAAGTGTTTCTCTCCCGGCGGCCGAGAGTCACTAGGCGACCCCTGGCAAATTGTCATTCGAACCCCCGAGGGGGTACCAACCCACAGGTTGAGAACCACTGCCTTAGGGTAACGGGAGGACACAAACTTGCGTCCTCCCGTCACCCTAAGCTCAGTATATCGCGAGCTACAGCTCGCGGTATACTGAGACGCCACAGTATACCGCAAGCTACTGCTCGCGGCATACTGAGACGCTGCAGCTGAAGCGGATCCCGACAATTATGTCTGGATCCGCCCAGCTGCGTGAGTGACAGCTGGCTCTGCCTATCTAGAGGCAGAGGTACCCGCCCCCTCCCGATCCATCTGCCAGCGCTGGCAGATGGGAGCGGGGAATCCAGCCCCTCCCCTGTCACAGCAGAGAGCCGTGACAGGATCGAGAGGTGAGCGAACGCTGGTATGTGTTCGCTCACCTCCCGATCTATTGAGCCGACCTGTGACAGTCTCATTGTCACAGGTCGGCTAGAACTATGAGGCGAGTGAAAAGCACTCACCTCATAGTTCTCCTTTAAAGTTTACACCCAAAACACACGCAATATATTTGTCTGCTCACATTTAACCTCATTCCACTTTCTGGCGCTTGGAGGCACGAGGGACACAACATTGACCTCACAACTGGCCCTTGGGAGGGCTACATCACCAGCGGGAAACATAGTTTGTAAGCTGAAAGATCTCCCAGGAATTTGTGAAATGTTTCATGAGATCTTTTTAAATGTATTTATTTAGTATATGTTGCCCACCCACTAACATGGCTGCAGGCCGGTACAATGGCACTCGCAATACAGACACCATGGCAAATGTAGAGGGTCAGGTTCGGTTTGTTTATACATCAGCGGTAGCTAAACTGCAGACCTCCAGCTGTGGTGACACCACAAATCTCATTGTGCATCTGACTCAGAGTTTACAAAGCCTAATGAGATTTGTAGTTTCACCACAGCTGGAGGGCCAGAGTTTAGCTATCCCTGCTCTACATGCTTGGTGCCGATGTCATCAATGGGATGGCACAGATGAGAAGAAGCCAGTCACCGATGACTGTGGCGGCATGAGATGCAGACCCGAGGCAGCACGGAGCAGAGAAAGTGTAGAAAACCTATCAATAGAAGTACGTCTTATAGAAGTCATCAGTCTAGATATGGTTAGCTTCAACGCTTTGTTGGCAGGGGTTACCCTTTAAAAGTCCTCCCTCCACAAGAACATCACTGGGATCCCGCAGACTCCTGTATGGCTCACAGTCGTTCTTGTTTTCTTCACATATGCACGACACAATCTCCATACATTCCTAATGTACAGCCACCCACCACAGACAAATAATGGATAAACCTTCCATAGAACTGACCAGAGATTGTGATGTACACAAATGGGAGACGAGCTAGACCTGGTCACTCATAGATTGGGCCACACATGCGTACAATCCATTTATTTACCACCCCAGAGATCACCAAGGCTGGCCATACACTATACAATCTGATTGTACAAACTCATTTAGCTATGTAATATGATGACACAGCTAAACACTTAATTCCATCAGACGGGCCCTTGCACTACACAGCAGATGGTGAAACTAAAAGAGATTGTATAGTGTATGGGTCCCCCTAGGTCTGAGCAGAGGGTCATGGTAATATTCCACAAGGCAGATTCTACAGATCAGACAAATGATTCCTATACAGTAGTCAGCGAAGTATCCAGCCTATAATCAGCCGGTGTAGGCCCTGCTCTGGACCACTGACAGGCCGGGCGGGAGAAGCAGACAGCAGGGAGGCTCCTATGATGATACGATGACGGAATGCCTCACACACACACTGATGTTCCGCTATTCTTACCATGTAGACCACGTTGAGCGCACACAGCGCATTCTTGGAGCAGGTGAAGCCGCCGCACACCATCCTCCCGACGTGGGCTCTGGCCGAGCTCCGCCGAATCACTGGAGGGGTCTCTTTAAATGAGGAGCTCCTTTCTTTCTTTCTTTCTCCCCACCGGCCCGCTGTCCAGTGACGTCACCACCCTTGCTCCCTAGAGACAGACGAGATCGCTGATTGGTTGCGTGTGAATCTTCTCCGTCCTTCCATCGATCGGGCTTCCCCTGCTGACGCGCTACGCTGGCGCAGTTGTGACGTTGTACGAAATCCCAGGGAGCTGCCATCTTGGTACGCCAGCCACTCCCTTCAGTATAAACACTGTTGTTCCGTACGCCGGGGTGTAGTGCGTGTCGCGTGATGCTGTAGAGGAAGTGTGGGCTAAGCTATTTGTTGCTGTTTGTTTTCGTCATTTCCCTATGACAATTGACAAGTGGATATCAGCTGCTCTGATGCTGGCGACTTATAAAACGTTGCCAATGCTTGGTTCATAATTGTCCATGTTATTCAGGGACCGTGTTAGGTGTTGAGATATCTGTGCTATAAAGTCAGTCTTTTGTGTATGATGGCTTACATTTTTTTTTATATATATTATTATTATACAGGATTTATATAGCGCCAACAGTTTGCACAGCGCTTTACAATATAAGGAAGACATTACAATCACAATTCAATTCAAGACAAGATGGTAAGGAGGGCCCTGCCCCTGAGGGCTTACAATCTGAAAGAGGAGGGGGAAATGATACATAAGGAGGGGGCTGTGTGGGGATGAATTATTTGAGAATGTGAAGGTTCAGTGGTTAGGTCGAGGTGGGATAGGCTTCCCTGAAGAGATGAGTCTTTAGGGAACGCCTAAAGGCAGTCAAGGTGGGAGATAGATGGACAGGTTGGGGTAAAGAGTTCCAGAGGATGGGAGAGACTCTAGAGAAGTCCTGGAGGCGAGTATGGGAGGAGTGGACAAGGGAGCTGGAAAGCAGGAGGTCAATGGATGAGCGGAGGGGGCGGTTAGGGTAATACTTTGAGACAAGGTCTGAGATATATCCGGGGGCAGAGTTGTGGATGGCTTTATAGGTGACTTTTAATATTTTGAATTTTATCCTCTGGGTAAATATATTATCTTTATCAGTCTTCAAGCCTTTTTTATGTGTGGTGAGGAGTTGGCATTTGTCTCAGGGTTATATTGCTGCTGGAGGCGCCTTTGGGAAGATATACCTTCATTTCCTTTCCCAGAGATACAAGTATAAGAAAGGGTTGTGGCTGTCACGGGAACAGGAAGGATCTGAAACCAAAAAAAAAGTTCTAGTCCTTTCTTAAAGGAGAACTATGAGGTGAGTGCTTTTCACTCACCTCATAGTTCTAGCCGACCTGTGACAATGAGACTGTCACAGGTCGGCTCAGTAGATCAGGAGGTGAGAGAACACATACCGGCGTTCGCTCACTTCTCAATCCTGTCACGGCTCTCTGCCGTGACAGGGGGAGGGGCTGGATTCTCCTCTCCCCGCTCCGATCTGCCAGCGCTGACTGTCGGAACGGACGGGGGAGGGGGCGGGTACAGCTGGCAGAGGTAGAGCCAGCTGTCACTCACGCAGCTGGCCGGATAATTGTCGGGATCCGCTTCAGCTGCGGCGTCTCAGTTCACGGTATACTGAGCTTAAGGTGGCCATACACTTTACAACCATCGCAAGACCTTAGTCTTGCGATGGTTGTAAAGTAATTTAAAAAAACGTACGATCTGCCCATCTTGGACAGGCAGATCGTACTCTCGATCATTTTTTCTATTGGTCAGAAGAAAAAAGTGCAACATATTCCTCCATCTACGGTAAACTGTCCGGATGGAGGAATCTCCCACTGGGCCAATCTTCAGTATCTTGCTAGTCGGCCCCACTGGCTCTCAAATACCCGAACAATCTGATTGGATGCAGGCATTGTTCAGGTGTTTTGAGAGCCAGCGGGGCCTACTAGCAAGATTACGGAAGCTTGGCCCAGGTGGAGATTAGTGATGGGCTCGGGAGTGTTTGCAGCTCCATGTGCTGAGCCCGCCAGGAAGCTGACAGCACCAATCACAGGTACTGAGAAATCCCGGTCCGCTGCTGCAGAGATCGTCAAATGTCGCCGTGCCTGTGATTGGCGCTGTCAGCTTCCTAGCAAGCTCGGAACGTGGAGCTGCGAACACGCCCAAGCCCATCACTAGTGGAGATTCCTCCATTCACACAGTTAAGTGTAGATGGAGGAATCTGTTGCACCTTTTCCATCTGACCACAGAAAATCTGCAGATAATTGTAAGGTGTATGGGCAGCTTTACATTTCTCTCTCAACTGCTCCTGTATGCATTGACATATCTCTATAAATCTCAATCTGCCCACACACTATGGTCACCTGCTGATTCTGCAGAATTCGCAGTTTAATGTAGAACTGAAGCCAAAACATATTTTAGTTTTGGATAAACGTTATAACTACTGTGAGCTTTTGTTTGTCATCTACACTCACCGGCCACTTTATTAGGTACACCTTGCTAGTACCGCTTTGGACCCCTTTTGTCTTCAGAACTGCCTTCATTCTTCGTGACATAGATTCAACAAGGTGCTGGAAACATTCCTCAGAGATTTTGGTCCATATTGACATGTTAGCATCACGAGCCCAAAGTGTGCCAAGAAAAACTCCCCCACACCATTACTCCACCACCAGCCTGGACCGTTGATACAAGGAAGGATGGATCCATGCTTCTATGTTGTTTACGCCAAATTCTGACCCTACCATCTGAATGTAGTAGTATATGAACAGACCGCACTATCCAGAGAATTCCAATACTTCAGACTTTATTGAAATTCACAGCAAATCCAGTATAACAGTGAATTAAAGTGTATAAAGCAGCAAATACCAGCACCGCAAACCCTACCCCTATGAATAAGCCTACGGGTAAAACGTGAGAGGTTGTAGTGTGTTGGGGAATTGCGGTGCTGGTATTTGCTGCTTTAGGCTTTCCGCGATGGAGACACACCTATTAGACCAGCACCTGGAGAGTCACAATGGCGGCTAAGGAATTGGAGCAGGGGGTTTTCTTTTGGCTCTACCTACCGTCTGAATGTCGCAGCTGAAATCGAGACCCATCAGACCAGTCAACGTTTTTCTCATCTTCTATTGTCCGATTTTGGTGAGCCTGTGCGAATGTAGCCTCTGTTTCCTGTTCTTAGCTGACACGAGTGGCACCCGTTGTGGTCTTCTGCTGCTGTAGCTCATCTGCTTCAAGGTTCAACGTGTTGTGCGTTCAGAGATGGTATTCTGATTGCCAGACCTGGCGGACAGCGAGTGGCACGGGTGCCAGTGGTGTTGAAACCGTGCAAGCAGAAGGTTGCTTCTGTAGCTGAGCAGGGGTAATCCAGAAATCGGTCAAAGCAAGCCGAGGTCAAACCAGGAGAGCGTAAAAGATACAGAGGGATCGAGCAAAAGAGAATTCCAGTATTCAGTCCAAGGTCAGTGGCGGGCAGCAATCCAGAGTAGTCAAGGCAAGGTATCGGGTCAAAATCCAGGAGACAGGCAGTTCACAGAGACAGGTAATCACAGAACACAGAAACACGGGGAGGGGCTGAAGACAATCCAGCAATCTGTAGGTCTGCAGGCCAGGTTTAAATAGGGAATTAATCCTGATTAAGTGTGTCACTTCCGGTGCGCCACTTGGCGCGGTTTCCTGCACGTCACTTCTGGTGCGCCATTTGCCGTGTTTTCTGTGCGTTACGCGCATGCGCTGAAGAGTTCTACGAACAGCACGGAAACCTGGATTTGGCACATGCGCAGGAGGTGAGGGTTGCTGACAACCAATCTGCCCATTCTCCTCTGACCTCTGGCATCAACAAGGCATTTTTGTCCACACAACTACCACTCACAGGATATTTTATCCTTTTCAGACCATTCTCTGTAACCCCTAGAGATGGTTGTGTGTGCAAATCCCAGTAAATCAGCAGTTTCTGAAATACTCAGACCAGCCCGTCTGGCACCAGCAACCATGCCACGTACAAAGTGACTTAAATCCCCTTTCTTCCCCATTCTGATGTTCGGTTTGAACTTCACCGAGTCATTTTCACCACGTCTAGAGGCCTAAATGCTGCCATGTGATTGGCTGATTAGCAATTTGTGTTGCCAAGCAATTGAACAGGTGTACCCAATAAAGTGGCCGGTGAGTGTATGTCCCATTGGGGAGATTCCCTTTCACTTCCTGCCCTGAAAAACCTAACTTCAAGATTTCAACCTCAACTCACTCAATTGTAATCCACAGGATAAACAGAACAGATCAAGTTGACCAGTTGATTAGATGCTAGAAACCTATACAAGGAAAAGTTTCAAACCCCAGAAGAGTCTTTGATGGCTTGAACTTGCAATATTAAAGATATCAGGTCATTTTTTTGTATTTTTTTTTTATGGGTAAAAAGCTTGCAAAGCCCCTTGTGGATGGGAGTAGGATAGTCTCTAGTAGGTTGAAGGAACTTTCTGATAAGTCTAGGAGACTCTGTTTCCAGCTTGTGAAGAGAGGGATGGTCTTGCATGGTGAAAGGTGTAGACAACTCTGATGAGCTTCTTAGGGCTTTCTCTATCAGCAGAGTACCTGGTGTGACACTTGAGCTAAGGTTCAAGACAGCAGCTCAAGTCAAGGTGAAGAGACATTATTGTTTTTCATTTTGTCAGATGTACTGTAGATTGATTGATGACAGATTGCAGGTTGCACCTAGTCCTGTGTAGCTAGTATAAGATTTCAGCTAGTTCTCTGTGAACAACTCTGTAGCATATAGTGAGGTAGATAGTAATTTAAAGTCACACAGTCCTGGAACCAATGGACTGCAATAAGGTGGAGCAAGGTAGATGTATACATAAAGTCTAAGTGCGGACAGTTTTATCATATGTCTTATTACATTTTCTGACATAGGTACAATTTGATATCATTGTAACACTGCCAGGGAACCAAGAAAGCAGACAGAAACCTAAATTGCAGGTTTAAAATATAAAAGAAAACAATAATAAACATAAATGCAAAACAATGGAAAAGGTCCAAGATGTCGTCAGTGCCAAACCAGAGGTCAGAAGCCACAGCGGGTAGTCAGCCGAACCCGATCAGTGAACACTGAGAGCATGATGAATGGAAACAAAGCCGGAGTCGGGAACTAGGAGAACAGTCAGCCAGAGGCAGGATCATACACGGAAAACAGGAACAGCAGCAGCACACTTGGTTGAGCAGAACAAAT